ACGACGCTTGTGGTCGTGGGTGAGGCACTGGACGACACGGTCGGTCAAATCTTTCCAGGCGTCGCGGTCGGCGGCAAAGCTACGCAGTTTGTCAAGGTCGTCGCCAGCGACTGAGGCGGCGTCAGCGACTGGAGGTCGCGGTGCAGGACGATCGGCAGCTCCACTAGATTTGCATCTATGGGGTCAACAGCTCCTCCTCCCCACGTCTGTGGAGGAGTAGCTGTCTTCCAAGTAGGATGACGACAGTGCAAGATGATTGAACACTGTCGCCTCGAGATCGGGACCCAAGGTAAATGTGTCTTGCCGACAACACGCCGCTGTAGCATATATGCACACCTGCACTTCAACTGTACAAGTTTTTGAATGTACTAGCTTAATATTTGAAATATTGTTTGAAAACCTATTCGTTTGTATCGAGCAACTGGTAGTCGCAGTACGACTCGCACGATGCCAAATGCAAGTCGGGGTCCGATGCGTACGTGATGCCATACTCGGACCGGAACATGGCTTCCGGAAACTGTATGCTTGGCACGTGGTTGCCAAAGATCGTCTCGTGGCACGTGAGCGGGAACATGTAGGCCACATCGAGCTTCTCCTGGGCGGTCTCGACCTTGATTTTGCGCCCGACCTCCTTGTTCCACGAGTACAAGTCCAGGTACGGCGTGCCGTGGTCGTACGTCGACACCTCGACGAGGTCGGTCTACACCCACGCAACTTTCATTTCCTGCTGCCACGTCATATTTGAAAGACCTACATTCGGCGCGTACAACAGCGACGCGAGCGGGTGGTGCGACGCGACGCACGCGCCGTGGATATCACGTTTAAACACGTAGAAGCCTCGGGCCCACATGGCGTCCTGGACTTTTGCCCAGTCGGTGGTCAACGGCAGGACAATGTCAATGTCGGGGGTGTGCGGGATGATGGCCTCGTCACGCCACGCCCCTAATAGCACATTTTAGTTAGTCGTCATGTCGCATAGTTCTTTATAATGCATACCGAGTAGGGTGCCAAAGTAGACAAACGACGGGAGATGAAGCTCTTGGACGACCTCGAGCATGTTTTCGAGCAGCAGCTGGAGCACAGCCGACCGGCACGGCTTGCCTTGCGGCGTCTCAAAGAGCGTCGGCTTGAGACCGCGTCGCGCACCACACTGTTGCGGCTTCATCGGGAGGCAGTATTCCCACGCCTTGCCTTCGCGGAGTTTGGTCGTGTTGCTAAACGGTGAAAGGTACGGCGCATGAGCTTCGTCAAGCTGCAGCGGCAATGGATGGCGTAAGTACGTGGCCAAGCGCGCGTTGTACTCAGTATCGTTGCGCAGCGGACAGTGGGCCACCTCAAACTTGACGTCGCGTCGGAACGGCGGAATGTCGTCGTCGCAGAGCTCTTGGCAGTTGACGTTCGGGTACCAAACATCGAGATCATTGTGGTTTCGCATGCCATGTGCGGCTGTGAAGAAGGTCGCGGGGTGCGCCGGTGCCATGATGGACGCGTCGTACAGCGGCAAGCACGAAGGCGGCGTCAACTGTGCAAGCCGATACGCGTGCTCATTGTGTGTTCCAATGTGCAGCTGGTCGTCGACAGAGCGCATTTTCGACCAGCGCAGGTGCGGCGGCGTTGCGTCGGTAGCATTGTCGGCGTAGAGCAGAGAGGCAAGCGTGTGGTGAGGCGCCATGCACGTGACGTCACGCCCGTCGGTCACATCTTGAAAGTGGGCAAAGCCTCGGGCCCAAAACCATGCTGTGAGGTCCATCGAGGCGTCTGTGAGCATCTACAAAAGCCACCATGTCATGCGTCGACGGCGAGAAGATTCGGACAGTACATCGATCGACGGTGCTTCTGGCGCGAGCGCTCCGTGCTCCCACATATGCTGCAGACCCGAGCCGATCGGCAGTGCGATATGACCTCGCTCTTCGATGGCCTACCGCAGGAAAGTCCATAAAGACTATGAGAGTTGCAGCCGACGTACGGCAGATGCAGCCACGACGAGATGGTGCACGGCGGCGGACCGGCAC